TAGTAGTAGTCGTAGTAGTAGTAGCAGTAGTAGTAGTAGCAACGCCAGATGTGTAAACAGACACCTTGCTTCCTTGATTGTTGCTTCCACTTGCATCGGCGGCCGCTCATCCATCCATCCAACCATCTAACCGAACAGCTTTATGCTTCACCGCCACACGCCTTGTTCAATTCGTAACAACTCACGCGTTATGTGTTGAACAATGCGCGCACCCAGTGGCGGTATCCGGAGAGCAAGAGCACTCAGCAATCCAGGAAGCTCGCTTTTGCTGACCGTCCACTCTCCACACACCACGCACTAATCCGGATTCGAAATACAGCCGAGACTGCTCTCCACACGGGCATCTACTGACCACTAAGGCACCGCCCGATCGAGGACCTACGATTGCTACAGACATATGGAGCCTATAACAGAATATAAATTTTTTGTACCGAAATTTCAAAAATTTCTGACTCCCGCACTTGTTTTTTTTAAGGACAAGATGAGATAAGGGAAACAGGTGTGTAAGAGATGATGGCATGAATAGCTGGAAAACGAAACTATACTCTCTGTCCACTAACAGGTTGCTGTTCCTTGGTCTGATGTTCACACATAATGAGTACCACTGTGATAGGATGTCTTTCCCTCAGTTAAATTTGACTGACTTCTTGCAAAGCGAATTTTGAGAAATTAAGAAGCAACTCTTGCGTTTAAAGTTACAATTTGCGTGGAGTGAGGGCGGCATTTGTCATTATTATTGCCTAATGGTCGTTGCTTAGCGGTCACTGCCTAGTGGTCATCGAAGTAGTGGCCATCGATGACCTGATATATATGCTAAACGGAAGGAGTCACGAGTAACGGAAGGAGTATATATGCTAAACGGAAGGAGTTCATATGGATATCTGCCTTAGCAGAATGGATATTTTGCAATTTGAAACTAAAACGATAAATTTTCCAATAGGTAACTCTTTCCGTATTCTGCCAGAATTAAGCTAAGTTTTTGCTAATTCCATACAAACCTGACTGCTCTCACTTCGGCCACTCCCCTCACCTCTCTAGATACCCATTTGTACCAGGTTCTATCAAAGGTACGCCAGAGCCTGCCATTTATCAAGATTACTAAGACTGTATGAACAGTTGGTGTGGAATTCTGTTGTTTCTGGGATTCGTCCACACGTCGGGACATATATGCCCAGGTCCTTTCTTCTGAACTGCTCAGTATATTTGCATAAAATCTGCTCAAATAGTATATATTTGCTTACTTTTTGAAAAATACACGTCTTTCCGTCACATTAATGACGCGTGAGGATGAACGCGCTAAATCGGGCTTATAGTCTGCTATTATCGATCCGAACTGATGTGTTTCATCCTTCTAAATCCATAAAATCCACAAAAATCCTCGTATATTGTAAGTGCAAAATTTACTGCACAAACATGCACACATACACACATATATGGACATACATCCACACACGTAAAAATACACACAAATTAACAAAAACACGGAAAAACGCGAACATAGACACGTATAAAAGCCGTAACACAAACACATAAACAAAAATACACGCATATGGACGTACAGCCTCAGACACACACACACACACGCATAAATACATACCCACAAACACACACACACACACAAACATACACAGACATAAGCACACACAAACACACGAAAAACATACACAAAGACACTGATATGCACAGACGCTTGCTTATTCTCATCAGTTCCTCAAAAGTGTTGTAATTTTGAAACTTTTGTTAAAATGCCACTGGTTGATGAACTGTTTGAAGCGCAGCTAGCTATCTACCTCAACTTGTCAGTTTTGTTGACGCATTCCGAGACGACCTCAGTATACGGTAATTTACACAACAGCACAGCAGGTAGCAGCACACTGGGAATCGTTGGATGTGCGAATCCTGAACACTCTCTTCAATACAGCTAAAGGATGGATGCTGTGGTGGCTAACACGTGTAAAAGAGTGGACCGATCGGCAGTGGTCGGAAGGACGTGAAACAAAATCGCAAAAGCAGTGTGCTACATCCATCAGACTGATTGATTGACCAGTTTTGTTGGCTGAACTAGTTGTTGGAGCTGTCCGAGGATCGCGCCTCTCCCGCTCCCAGTGCTGTCTTCCGAGGAGGCGAAACATGTGACGCCTCGGGATGGGCTGGAGGCTGAAGATATGCCTGCCATCTGTTACAGACCTCTTCACACCCACTAGCATTCCCTTAAATCATTTGAAAAATTATTCAACAGAACAGAACTACTACTCACTGAGACAGAGGAATGCTTGCAGAGAGATAGAGCTAACTGATTGGATCAAAAACGAGCTTGTTGAAATCTGTCGCTGTGGCAAGAATAGGGGATTTTTTTGGCAATTTGACCCATTTTTTTGAGTAAAAAATGATTGAAAAATTAAATCTGTGTATGTGATTTGTGTTTGCATTTTTATGCTTGTTTACCTGTTTGTGTGTTTGCGCCTGTGATAAGAACAGATCAAGTCAAAAAACACAAACGAAAAAAAGCTGAAATTTATAAAAAACAGTTTTTTTTCGTGCTCACCACAAACCTAAATTAATTTGAGAGTTATTTATGCTTCTAACTTTAAACACCAAGCTCATGGCCGATGGCCAGTTTTGTAATTAGCCTGGAAGAATTAACCTGAGGACCAAAGTCATGATACCAAGGGAGGCGTAAGTTAACTGGTACGCCGCAATCTCCTAAGCAGACGAGGATTA